TTTTTTTTTTTTTTTTTTTGTATTTAATAATAACTATGTGACGAACATGTGTCAGAACAACTTTTGTGTAATAATAGAAGATTAGTTACAAACTTACCAAACATAAAATGTCAAAATAAATTAATATGCGATTATTTTTGCGTATTATGTTTTGCCTAATAATCGCATATCTTAATGACTCGCATTTTCCGAAGCAAACCCATTATTCGAACAGTCTTCTCTGCATAAACTGAAACGTCATGTGTCAATTTGAACCGTTTGATAACTGTATTTGTGAAGTTTGATATTAAATCGACAAACTCCAGTGAAGCTTGAAACCTACATTGGATGCGGAAATTGTTTGAAAATGTAAAGAGAAGTTTTTTTTATTATTATTTTCTTAATTCATTTTATTCCTTTAATTGTACTTTTTTAAGTTTATTAATTAGTTTGTTTTATTTGAAGTTGATCAAGAAGAAAAATCTTCAAGATATCTTAACTTACTAGTACAACGCCCGTGTATTACACGGGTGCTTGCTAATTTTTTCTTAAAATCTAAAACTAATGAGAAAAAGTAGTTAAAATTTTAAATACCTTTTATAAAAATATATATATTCTTATATATTTAGTATGACACTTTTTATTTGTGTGACCTACATGTGTTATATTATAATAATTTCTTTTAGTTACAACATATAACTACATTAAACATAAATATATCAACTAAGTAATATTTTTATTTTTCTAATGAATTTTAATAAATATTATTATTTTTTATTATTATAAAGATAAATATAATTTATTTATTTCATATATACAATATGGATGTCAAATCGAAGATCATTAAAAGACGATCAATTTGATATATTATATATGTAAAACCGATAAGAAATACAAAAGTTATCAACTTTTAAAATACATTTACAATTCAATAGCTAATTGAAGGAAACAAATCAAAAGTCAGAGATATATTAGTCACTTAGTGTCTCACTATGTAAAATTACAAAGACTTAAAGGGTTATATTAGTACAAGTGATCTTAAAATACCTAAGTTAGCTAAATAATATTTATAGAATATCCGAACCTAGATTATTAATTATTAATATATCAATTTTATTTGTCCAGACCTAATTACGAAACATGATTCTTCGCCAAGTAGGATTCCAAAGCACCAGAAGAAGTCACGTAGGCTCAGCGCATTCGGGAATTATATATAGGAGGGATGAAACAACCGCACTTGATAAGAAAGAAAGATCATACTTACCATACAAAGAAGTCAAGGCGCGTTACCTTATGAAATGCCGAGATCCCTTGGGACACTTGTGACTTTTGATCTAACAACAGACTTGTGGTTGACTAGTATATCTTTATCTCACGAATGAAGAACCGACCTGTGTTTATCCATTATGCTTTTGTATGCTGCTGACCGGTTGTCCGAACCCAGTTTTGATTTATATATATTAACATTTAAGGAAAAAAAAAAAAAAAACGAGGGTGATCAACATACCATGAAGAGATGGCTTGGAAAGGGGACCAGTAACCACAAGTGCAAGTATCTAGACACGGCTAATTAAGGAGGAAATAAGACGAGGTGGACTTACCATAATGTAGTAGCTGCAAGATATGAGAAGATCTTACCATGTGGAGTTGACTTGTGAATGAGGACACACCTAAGTTTAGAGAGGACAAAAAAATGAGATGGACTTACAATAATGAGAAGATATAAAATGATTCCACGCACAATTGGAAGAATGACCCCGATTATTATCAATTATTTTGTGTTCAGAGATTATTTTATTTTGATTGAGTGGAGACAAGAGCCCGTTTTCTATCTCTTTGAGCTGAGATTATACTTGTGATAACTTAGGTGTTCGCGAGGAACATTTACAACAACACGAGGGATTCGGGTTGTAAAATACACAAAGGATTTGTAGTCGGGAAAGTAGTTGTATAGCTGATTACTTTGTAGGTATAGAAGAGAGAGGCTTCGTGTAAATCCTAAGTGTAATGGGCCAAACACTTATACAAATGAAAGAGTTTTGGAGGGGGAGTTTGATGCTCTCGTAAATGTTCATGTTTTGTAGAAACTTGTTTCCGCGATCGTGTGAACTTACATCAAAGTTTACTGTTTTATTTGTTTAGCGCAATTCTGGTTTATATTCCCCACAGTATCAATCAGTATAAATACTACATGAATGAATTTCGAAAAAATTCATCCACATCTCTACCATTATGTTAACAAAAAAAAAAAAAATGTATTTTGTGTACCTTCGCATACCGATCGCACGTTCATGTTATTAATTTCATAGTTCTCGTATTTGATCAACGTATGCTCGATCAATTCATACAAGTCGTTGTTCCTATCATTTTTCATCTGGTTCATTCAGTTGTTGATCTCGGCCCAGCCCACGATCCTCCGCCTTATTGCTTCGGGGATTTCCATTGTTAAAAACTTTGGGTATTCAAGATGGTGAAAACTCCTTCATGTGGTTCTGGTACAACATTCCCGAGATGACAACACAAGTCGAGATAAACCATCAAGGTCAAAAAATGCACGATCTGCAAATAAAATAATTGATATGTATAGTGATGCTCCCTGAGACGTTTTGACAAAGTATCATTCCAGGAGCCATCAGTAGAAAATGGAAAAATAGTGATCTAGCATCCGCTGATCTGTGCAAAAATACCCCCGCGACGTGAGTATGATTGCCCTCCAGCGAGGGCCAGCGACCTCGTTCACCCGCACCGCAAGTCCCGTGCCATGCCAGTCCGCGCTGCCAGTCTGCGATTTACAAAACTGCTCACACAATTCTCTGCATATATGTCGCCTATATGTCATATATTTTATTGCATAATTTTACGCACTTCTTAAATTAGTTCTCATATTTTATCATATAATAGGATCACACTTGCTCAATTAATATTCACCTTTCTGTCGTGTAGTTTATCGTATAATTATTTCAAACTTGATTAATTAAATTCGCCTATCTATGACATAGTAATTTATCGTATAGTTAGATCACACTTGTTTGATTATCTTCATCTATCTGTCGCATAGTTTATCGCATAATTATTTCGCATTTTAGCAATCAATTTCTTATGTCTGTCGCGTAGTTATAGCATAATGACATCGTACTAGCTCGATTATCTTCGCTTTTCTATCGCATAATTATTTCGCATTTTATCAGTTAACTTCACATATCTGTCGCGTAGTTTGTTGCATAATGATATCGCACTAGCTCGATTAACTTCACCTTTCTGTCACGTAATTTATCTCATAATAATATCTCACTTGCTCGATATCTCCGTCTATCTATCGCATAGTTTATTGCATATGTAATTCGCATTTGCTTCATTAAATACGCATGTCTACTGCGTTCTTTAATGAATAACTTGTTTCTGTTCTTGCTCAATGAACTTTGTCTGTATGTCGCATAGTTGATCGCACATGTAATTTGCACTTGCTCAATTAACTTCAATAGCATCTTGTATGCTTTATCGCATAATCTATTTTGCACTTTAGTCAATGAAATTCGCTTGTGTGTCACATAGCATATCGTATAAATATTGTATCATTTATAAATTTTCTTTGCATGTATGTCACATAGTTTATAGCATAATATTTTTGTATTTTATCATTTATCTTCTCATGTCTGTCCCAAAGTACTTCACATTTTATCAATTATATTCGTCTGTATGTCGTATATAATTTGTTTCGCACTTTATTGGATGAAAAAAGTTAACCTATCGATTAACAGTGTGTAAAACTTATTCCATCTTCACAACCGGTATCTTCTCCTCCTCCTGGTCTAAGTATTTGGATCGAACATGACTGCATGGGTGTGGCTCGCCCTAGACAAATTCTGAACTAGGATTTGATCTCTTTCGTTGTACCAAAAAAATTGCTATTTTCTCTTTTCCAATTTACCGTTCGAGTACGGCGTCGTTCTGTTGTCACCAGTCAAATTTCCATTGGCCTGTCTCATCTCTAATTGGACATCCATTTTTCGAGTTTCTTTTGCTTTTCTCTCCTATTACAGTGCTGAAACAAAAGCACCACGAAAAGAAGATGAACAACTGTACACTGCAAAATCTATTATTGTTTGGCTGCATTATTGTGTTGATTAATGGCAACACCAGATCGGCGGCGTCTTCTTCCCCTGCGGACTCGCTGCTCGGAGTTTCACCTGAAGGTTAGATCGTCTCATCAAGCTCCCTGTCTAACTATAGCATTTTGAAATTTTCTATTTCTACGTGATTGTGTGTGTATGTGTATGATGTACAAGAACCGGTGCGTTCAGCAAAAAAATGAAAAATCTAGAGCGGATGTGGTGCAGATTTGAGTTATTACAAGGGATTGTCATCGACTGGTACGATATACTGCAAAGATGGATCTAAAAAATTTAGCAAGTCACAGTTCAATGACGATTTCTGTGACTGCCCTGATGGTTCGGATGAGCCAGGTACTTCTCTGATGAATATTGGAAAACATGCGTTCTGTTACAATTTAGAATCTGTTGTTTTATATACTAATGGTATTGGCTTCAGTAACTAGCCTACTTTAGAAAATTACGGTTTCTGTATTGGCAACTGGATATTGGTGTTACGGTTTCTGTATTGGCAACTGGATATTGGTGAGGCCGATGAGTTGATTGTTAGGGCTGGATTTTTCAGGAACATCAGCCTGCCCCAGTGCGAAATTCTACTGCAAGAATGCTGGCCATGTTCCCGTGATCTTATATTCGTCGAGGGTCAATGATGGTATCTGCGGTATGTTGTCTTTTTTCCAACACTTTTGACCTATACTGTGAGCTTTCCAAAGTCATTGCTACTGATCAAGTGCACTGATTAAAGTATCCTTAAATTGTACTTTGTGGACCAATTCTTGCTAAAACGTTTACTAAGCTATCTCTTCTTTTATTATTGTTCATCCTTTTCTTATCATGTCATGCATGGATTTTCTTGACATAGAATAGCACAAAGCTTGCTCATTTTCCTCCTACATTTATGTTATGGCTTACTATTTCCTATAGTAGTTTGAGTCTGACTGCATGTACGACTTAAGTTGTAAATTGACGCTACTGGCACAGATTGTTGTGATGGGAGTGACGAGTATGACGGTAAGACCAAGTGCCCAAACACATGCTGGGAGGCAGGAAAAGTAGCGAGAGAAAAATTGGTGAAAAAGATTGCCACATATCAGGAAGGTGTCACCATACGCAAAAAGGAAATTGAGCAAGCTAAATTGTCCATTGCCAAGGATGAAGGAGAATTGTCAAAGCTGCAACATGAGGAGAAAATACTCAAGGAACTAGTCGAGAAGCTCAAGGGTATGTTTATCTGCTTTCCTTAACTGCAATAGTTTGTGGCATGAAAGCATGCTATACCTGTCACTCCTCTCCCACCTTCGATGACCAAATTTATAAACATAAGAAAAAAGGAAGAAAAGAAAAAGAACCTAAAAGCACATAACATAATATATGCTTAGAGTTATAGCATGCTGCGAAACCCAACCTAGTTAGTTTATTATTAATTGCTTTCGGAATTGTGCGAAGTAATAGTGAGTGGGGATACTTGAAGACTTCTTCATGTTTGCTATCGACATGGCATTATCAATCCTGGGTCTTATCTGGGGTTATGTTACATTTATATATGCCATATCATTCTCATTTCATTTGTATCTATAAATCTGTGACAATATTTATGCATGCTTTGTTTGGTAGTGCTTTATCTGATTGTGTACGAATTTTCATGCTAGTGAAGGGCAGCGTATGTAGAGCAATAACCTGTTAAGTTTACATGACTTAGTGGTCAGATATTACTAATGTGCCTTTGGAAATGACAATGAGGAGACTCCACAGCAAAAAAGACTCAAAATCAGAGTTCCGTTTTGTTTAATGCATTTTTTGTATATTCAAAACTTAATGTTAGATATTCTTGATTAATGCATTGCATGGACAAGGTGCTTTGTTGTGAGAGGATCATATAACCAGTTACTAATTAAATTGTCTGCTATTTTGTATTTATTCTCATCAAGAGCGCAAAGAACTGATTGAGAAGGCTGAAGAAAAAGAACGGCTGGAGAAGGAAAAGGAAGAGAAAGAAAGAAAGGAAGCTGAAGAAGCTAAACAGACGGAAACAACAGCTGAAGAAGCTGAGGAGAAGGAAACAAAAGCTGAAGATATTTTGTCCGAGCAGCATGATATTCTTGATAATGCTGAGGCAGTAGATGAAGATTCACAGGTTCTAAGTTGAGATTGCCCTTTCAATATTATGGTGATGATTTGCTTGCTATTGAGACCTGAGATGTTAGGGTAAATATAATGGATATGTTTGGGTGGACAGAGTTTTGAGCTAGAATTGGAAGTTTAGACCTCAATCAGAGGTTTGGCGAGTTAGATCTTCTATTCAACGTGTTTGGTAAAGAGAGTTTTGAATTAGCCTTTTGTCCTAAAAAGCTAATTTTGAAAGGCTCCAACTACGAGCCTTTTGAGAATAGAGAATTGACTAATTTCTGTAAAAGATTATTTTGTAATTCTACTAATATTTATATCTAGTATAAATTATACATAATGATTTATAAATAAATATATCAACTAACTATTAGTAATATTTATTTACTAAAAACTAGATTTTAATATATTTATATATTAGCAACTTAAAAAATTTTACATTTATATTAAACCAACCATTTGCCTACTATTAATGTATAATTTTAAATATTTTGTCCTTGTCGGAAAAGAAGAAAGAAAAATGAGTTGAAATTGGTTTAACTATTGTTTTCAGCTCTCTGCAATAAGATTTAGGTGATGACTTTGTATCATTGTGTATGTCTCCATTTAAATCTAAGCTTGCATGCTGATGTCCTAAGCATCAAATAATAATGTTAGACCTGCCATGAACGTTTGATACTATATAACTTTATCGTAGTGGATAATGCTGTAATATGACTATCTTGTGGACTTCCCTTGTTAATGGTTTATTATCTGCGAACATGAATCAGCGTAATATTTATTTCTTTACAAATTTCATTGTGATAGACCTGAATGATATTTGAGTAATTTATTTGCTTCAATTTTTGCTTGATTCCTGAATTCCAATTTATGATGTTAAATAGGATCCAGCGGAAGACCATCCCAAAACTGAACCTGAGCTTGATCATTCTATTAAGGATGAACCTCAAGGAGATGGAGTAGAAGATAATGAGGGTTCTATCCAGGTTCACATTGTTTTATCCAAATATCGCTTCTTGAGGCCACACAAAATGTTTCGTCATAACTCTTTTTCTATCTTGTTTAGAACACTGAACATCAAGGTGAAGATCCAATTGTTGATGAAAAAGCTGGTCCTGATACTGGAAATGAGGTGAATGTTTGGTGACTGCCTATTATACAAGATTTGTTGTGTATATTTTTGCCTATTATATAAAGCAGATATTCTGCTGTAATCACTGTCATGCTAAAATACGTTGTCTCAGATTTAGAGTCAAATAATTGCATCCTCATCTTTCTTAAGAAGCATTTCTGTGTTTCCAGAATGAAGATATTGAGACATTATCAAGAGATGAGTTAGGACGTCGAGTGGCATCACGGTGGACCGGGGAAAAGACTGGGAAACATGAGGAGCTTGACACCTCTATAGATAAGAATCATGAATTTCCTGATGAGGCACCAGATGAAATCAGTGATGAGGACAACCATGGCTATGGGTCAGATGATGACGAGCATAATTATGATGATGAAGATGACAGCGGAGACCCAGGCGACGATTTTGGAGGGGAGGATCATTATAGTTCAGGTTCTTCTCAAAAACCTGAGTCTGATGATGAGTATGACTTGTCAGGTAAAATAATCCTCTGTTGAGGTTCCTCTTTCAGTTACAGCCTGGTAAGAATATGGAGGTTATTTGAATATGATTCAAATTGGTCAGATGTTACTGGCACAAGTGGCTCATCTTGGCTGGAGAAGATACAGAAGAAAGTGAAAAGCGTCTTTCAGGCTGTCAATTTATTCCAGAAACCTGTTAATATATCTGGTATGAGAGGGTATTCCATGATTTTCAGCTTTACTGGACATAATGCAAGATAATAGAGATCTGTTTCTTGGTTCACTCTACAGAGGCTGCACATGTTCGCAAAGAATATGATGAATCCAGTGCCAAGCTGTCCAAGATACAGTCAAGGATATCGAGTCTTAAGAAGAAACTAAAACAAGATTTCGGTATGTAAAACATATGGACAAAACATATTGTCTTACTGTCAGTTTTTCATCTGTTGCATGGTATTCATTTATCATGTAAGTGAATTTATTGATTAATACTGCAGGTCCTGATAAGGAGTTTTATTCATTCTATGGTCAATGTTTCGAGACCAAGCAGAACAAGTGAGGAGCTTCTTAGTACTTCTTTATTAGCTTGGAATCATCACATTGCTACTTATTAGAGGTGATGCCTTTCTCTTATACCAGGTACTGAAATTCTCTTTTTCAGGTACGTTTACAAAGTATGCCCTTTCAAAGAAGCTACCCAAGCGGAGGGTTACAGCACAACTCGACTGGGGTACTCATTTTGTTTAAGTGCAATTCATATTTATATATGTTTAGAGCATGCTCTGTTATTCTGCTTGGATTTCCTATTTATATGCAGTAGTACAGTTGCCCGTGCAAATGCACGGGAGCTATAGAAAAAAATTTATTAAAAGAACATTTGGAATTCATACAAATGCATAACGATTAAATATATATTTTATTTTTGACATGAATAAGATATAACTATCGATTCATGCAATAAATACAGAGGTCTTCAGGTATAGTATTCATATAAATTAATCCTCAACAACTAAAATATATATTTTATGTTTTATATGCATGTGATATAATTAGAGATGAATAATGAGTCCATAAAAAAAAGAGTTTTTAGCCAAATCGGTAAAACTTTAGAAGTTATACATAAACTTCGGGAAATTTTAATCTTGAAGTTTACCATAAAATTTTTCTTGAATCTTGCCATAGTAATTTTATATCGGCCGCCATTTGGTGCTACAATTATAAAGTGTGGATACCAATGACTCCAAAACGTTTGAAGTAAACTACATGAATGTTTTTGATTGAGGGATGGATTATATATCCCTGTAAAACCTTACAAACACAAATATTAGGAAATAAAATTAAACAAAATATGCATAATAACTATTTATAAACCAAAAATATCTTAAAAGAATCACTCGCGTTATTTCGATCTTGACCGGAGTCGTGGAATATCAATTCCCAGAAAACGGTATTTTAATCTTTGAAAGAAATCAGTCCTTTCGTAACATCACATCACATCACATGGACTTTGATACTCCATCCTGTTTTTTATACCTTCTTTACCCGTGTGTAAGCAATTGTTTGAAAAAGATGTGAAAGTGATGGTAAAATGATGAATTGCGTATTTATAAACTACTACATATATATTACTAAATAAAAAATGTTGCCGGTGACGATTCAAGCCAATAACAATGTAACTTCCAAACGTGTGTATTTTTAGTAACTTCTTACAGTATTTTTATTTTAACTTATAAAGTATAAATTATGAAAATTAGATAAATAATTTAAACTAAAATTTTTAATAAAGAATCTAATAAAATTTTATAAAAATACATGTAGTACAAACCGTACTTTTAATTGTTTGTATTAAAAAAATTAGTCAAAACTGATGAACACGTGTCAAATTTAATGGGTGTTGGGTAGTTATCGATAAACTAAATAAATACTCTCGTACTTTTTTGTATTAAAAAAATGAGTCACAATTGATGAACACGTGTCAAATCATTAAATAATGGATGCGGGGCAGTTATTGATAAACTAAATAAATATTATTTGAGGTAGTTAATTTTAATACAAATATGAAGACGTGTCAAAAGAATGTGAAGGCTTTCCAAAAATAGCAAGAGTGTTGTAGGATCCAAATATAACTTTCTAAAAATGGCAAGTGAGTTGTCTAATTATATATTAGATGTTCGTTGTGCAATCCTTTGCTTGAAGATCTACAAAATTAAACCTTTTTCTTTTCATTTTATTAATTGAATTGTAGGAGCTGGGACAAATTCGAAGATTCTTACAGAACCATGCAGTTTTTACATGGAGATAAGTGCTGGAATGGTCCAGATAGAAGCTTAAAGGTACATATGTATCTTACAAATCATCATGATATTACATCATTTCTGTTATTCTTCTAACGTCATTATTGTTGGGTGCCAAGCACTGCTGAGCTAATTGACTGAGTTATGTATAATCCTAGGTGATAAAGGTCAAATTCATCTCTCCAAATTAAGTGAACAACACGTATGAGAATTTTATTATCTTTGTCTGCTTGTCTGGTTCTAGTCCAAAACCAATTTGTTTGTCGACATACTTCAAACTCATTTGTTTAATTGGGAACACAGTATTTTATAGGTGCACATTTTCATCTAGGTTCTATTATTTGATATTTTCCAACCGTGCTCTTGTTTTTGGCCCAAATTGATGGAGTGCAGGTCAAGTTAAGATGCGGACTGAAAAACGAACTTGCAGATGTTGACGAACCAAGTCGATGCGAGTACGAACCTATATCTACCTCTTTGTTATGTTCAGTTACATCTCATGGGATTGTAAATATATATATTTATACATGTGTGTGTGTTTTATGGATGTTTGCTTGCCGTTCATGTGGCTTGATTGTGAAAACATAATGCGGGCATGTGTTTTCATGTTGCCACTGTTCCTTTCTCATTCTTCTTCATATATGTATGTCTTTTCAGGTACATGGCATTGTTATCCACTCCTGCTCTTTGTGTTGACAGTAGACTTAAGGTTGCTTTTCAGTCTAAATCTTCCTGTTTTTTTTATTTATTTCTCTCCATCTTCGATAAATAACATTCTACTGTAATTTGCCGGTCAGCAGCAGTTTGTAATTTAATTTGTTACTTGATATAACGTGCGGTAGGAACTTCAAGAAAAATTGGAGTCACTGAACAAGGATCAACCCCAAGGACACGATGAGCTATGATGAAGCTTGATTGAATTTACTGGATAATGTGGCTCCCTTAGACACATGATTCTCTTTGCCCAATGACAAATAACATGCCGTCTATCTCTGCAACCATATATAGAGATAATCGAGTTGCAAAAGGAGTAGTAATATACGGGAGACTACAAGCCAGAAGATTTTTTTTTTTTTTGAGATAAAATGGTCCTTTTTATAATTTGGACTTGGATTCACTTCACTTGGAATAGTTTTATAGTGGTTAGAACTTCTGTTTTGTTCTTTACCTCCCAAAGAGTAAATGAACAAGGATTAGAAGTCAGAAATTTTTAATGCATCACGATTATCTGATACTTTCGGAATGGAGTTTTTGTTTCCTTTTTTGAAATAGTTGTGGACAGAAGGTGAAAGGGAACAAAATTTAATCAGTGAAGAGTTGAACGTATTACAGTTGAACGTATTACAGTAATAATGACTTTGTAGATTCTTTCTCTCGTTGAGAGCGGTGGCCTGAATTCTCTCGGTTGGGAGCAATCTTTAATCGTTTTTCTTGATTTTGCGCAGTCATTCCCCCTTTTTTTTCAGAAATTTCTCTCCTCACCTATTGAACTTCTGTTTTCTCTAATTTTGGTTTTCGCGAATCCTTTCATGGAGTTCAAAGTAGGTTTTAAGGTTATGCATTAAAAGGCTTTTAGGTACAATTCATTCGAGCTTATTTATATATATCTTTCCGGCGTCCTCGACCAC